CGCGCACACACACACACACACACACACACATACACACACACAAAGAAGTACATCGTACAACTGAAAGCAACCCAGACTGATTAGTCTCAAAATATATTCTAGAAAAGAATATTAGAGTTAAGAAAAGGAAAGGGGGGACCACACATCTGGACGGAAAAGAACAATGAAGAACTGGGTAGTCAGACTTCTATAGCAGAGCTCAGAGTTCTGGGCCAGAAGAAAAACACTCAAGACATTCCAAGGAAAGGAAGAGAGGGAAGGAAATGGGAGTGGGGAGCAAAAGAGGATGGGAGGGAGCAAAATGGTCTTTGTACTATAACAAGAATAAACGCCAGCAGCAAGGACTCAGAGAACAGTGTCCCAGGGTCCCTTCTTGTGGGAGCGGCTGGAGGGCGGTCAAAATGACCCGAGTCACAGTGCCTGGTGGGTGCTGCCAGGTCACAGCAGGAAGATGACCCAGAGACAGCTGTGACAGGTGTGACACGCTTGCTCGGAGACAGTACATCTGCTCTCAGGACACAGCCCACTGAGACTGCTCTCCAGAATGGTCCATGTGCAGTCAGCGGCAGCTGTGCCAAGGCTGCTGTGTGGGGTGTGGATGCAGCGAAGGGGGCTGCAGGACGTCTACTGCTTCACTCTCCACATGTCCACAGAGGGACCCTTGGTGGGGGACGAAGGAGACGGGTGTGATGGAGAAGCTGGTGGAAGGCTGAACTGGAAGCTCTGGGCATGTTATCCTGAGACTGATTGTGCATGTATACAGATACGTGTGTGTATACAGATGTGTGTGTATACAGATGTGATTGTATACAGATGTGTGTATACAGATGTGCTTGTATACAGATGTGTTACAGATGTGTGTGTACAGATGTGTGTATACAGATGTGATTGTATACAGATGTGTGTACAGATGTGTGTGTCCTGATGTGTGTATGTATACAGATACGTGTGTGTATACAGATGTGTGTATGTATGCAGATGTGTGTTTGTATACAGATGTGTGTGTACAGATGTGTGTATACAGATGTGTGTATGTATACAGATACGAGTGTGTATACAGATGTGTGTGTATACAGATGTGTTACAGATGTGTGTGTACAGATGTGTGTGTCCTGATGTGTGTATGTATATAGATGTGTGTATGTATACAGATATGTGTATACAGATGTGTGTATGCATGCAGATGTGTATATACAGATGTGTGTACAGATGTGTGTGTACAAAGATGTGTGTGTACAGGTGTGTGTGTGTGTACAGATGTGTGTGTATGCAGATGTGTGTGTATGCAGATGTGTGTGTACAGATGTGTGTATGTATACAGATGTGTGTGTATGCAGATGTATGTGTATGCAGATGTGTGTGTACAGATGTGTGTATGAATACAGATGTGTGTATGCAGATGTGTGTATGTATACAGATGTGTGTATGTATACAGATGTGTGTATACAGATGTGTGTGTACATATGTGTGTATTATACAGATGTGTGTGTATATAGATGTGTGTATGTATACACATGCGTGTATGTACATGCATGGAGATATGAATGTGTGACTCCCCATGTGCATGCATATAGCACAGGCCACTGAGAAAGACCAGAATCAATGATGAGTTTTGGAGCGTTCAATGTTTCCAGTGCCCACATTATGGTCTCAAAATACCACTTGCCACAAAACTTACAAACAATATCAGGACCAAAACACACCAGGTCTGTGGGGGAGAAATGGCTAAGTCCACGTCAGAACACAGATCCTGTCTGCAGGGCACAGAAGCTGGAGAGCCAGGTTTCCCTGGCTGAAGACCTTTCATGGAGATAACCATTGCTCAGGACTAAAATAGACACATGAGGCTGAAATCGCTAACACTGATGGTAGCAGAAGAAACAGCAATAATGGTGTGGGCAAAAGCATCAAGTTAGGACTGGAGTGGTTTGTGTTTGCTGCTCTTGTTAGAGTTTGGTGAGTTTCATTCCCAGCACCCACATGGGGTGGCTCACAACTCCTAACTCCAGCTCCAAGGGATCTCACACTGTTTTGTGACCTTCAAAGGCACCTGCACACATGTGGCATATACACATAAATATAGTAAAAATAAATACTTTCAAAAATCAAATTAAAACTGGAGAGGTGGCCCCAGCTTTAAGAGTACATACTGCTCTCACAGAGGACAAGAGTTCAATTCCCAGCATCCACATTGAGCAGCTCTCAAGTGCCTGTAACTCCAACTCAGGGAATCTGATGCCCTCTTCTGGCCTCTAGGGCAATTGCACTCATATGCATATACTCCCACTCAGACACACACTCCTTAATAATGACTGGGCTACCTTCAGAGGAAGATGGGGGAGGGACAGTCCGTGTTGTCTTGAGAGCTGAGAGGAGGGGAGGGCAGTGAGGTGAGGTAAAGTGCATGGTGAGTAGCCACAGAGATAGGAAGTCTATCTCTATAGAGGTTGTGATGGTTTGTATAGGAATGGCCCCATAGATCATGTTTGAATGCTTGGCCCAAAGGAAGTGGCATTATTAGTAGAGAGGGCCTTGTTGGGAGTAGGTACGGCCTTATTGCAGGAAGTGTGTCGCTGTGGAGGTCTCTAATGTTCAAGCTATACCCAGTGTGGGACACACGGTTCACTTCCTGTTGCCTGTGGATCAAGATGTAGAACTCTCAGTTCCATCTCCAGCACGCTGCCACGTCCACCATGATAATGGACTAAACCTCTGAAACTGTAAGCCCCAATGAAATGTTTTCCTTTATAAGAGTTGCTGTGGTCATAGTGTCTCTTCACAGCAATAAAATCCCTAGCTAAGACTGACATATTTAGGTAGCTATGTCCCCCAGACAACTATCATTGCTGGGGAACCCGACTGATGAGTGGCTCCACAGAGCAGGTGCTCCCCAACAGTGGGACCCAAAGCAAGCCTGGGGGAAAGGCCCACGGCCAGAAGAACACACCAAACGGAGCCAGGAACACTGCAGGGACTCCCAGGAGCTAGGGGCTCTGGGGTTCAACAGCCAAGGAAGAGAAAGCGTACAAGCCAAGGGGAGTCAGTCCGTTTTTAAAAAGAGGCCTGATAATATCGCATCGAAGGCTGGGTGAGGTGGTGCACACCTTTAATCCCAGCACTCTGGAGGCAGAGGCAGGAGGATCTCTGCGAGTTCAAGGCAGCCAGGACCATACAGAGAGACCCTGTCTTTAAAAAGAATCACATTCTGGGTCTTGGGATGGAATTTGTGGGACAATGTGACAGCTTAGACACTCATTGAGGGTGGGGGGCTGTGACTTTGGTGGCACACAGGAGGGGTCTCCCAGGGCTGGCAGACTGAGCGCTAGACCTGGGAGCTAACGCTGACACTGGGCTGGGCCATCTTATCATGGTGAGATTTACTGTATGTATTTTTAATTTTGCCATTCAAAACCAGGTTTTTAAGAAATCTAAGCCAGAGCCTGTCACTTCTTTACTCAAAGAGCACGGATTGTGACACTTTCAGAGAGCAATGGCCAACCGTGGCCCTGCCACTGACCCATCTGCTGGGTCCTGCCGCCTGCTGCAGCCTGGCCATCCCCGGGGCTTACGGAGCTCCCCCAGGCCCTCTCCAGCTCCCCTTCCTCTGCATGGCTTCCCATACGACCCCCAAACATTCCCTGCCTTGTCACTTGGAATTTACTGTGTGACACATATGGTCCCTGGCTATCCACTTGGCCTCGTCCCTCTGTGGGAGGGCGAGGTTTCTGTCTGTATCCCAGTCACCTCCAACAGGGCCCAGGATCTGTAGGGCCCTGCCCAGTTGTCACAGCCAAGCTGTTGGTGCCTGGAGAGGCAGCTCTCCTTACAGAGTGGGCCTGGGTGACACTTGTCCCTGCCCAGCCCAGGTGAACCACACGAAGCCACGCTCTAACCCCCTAGAGAACCCTACCAGGAAATATGATTATCTCCATTTTTTCGGGTAGGTAAAGTGAGGTCCAGAGTCCGAGGACACCAGAGCCAGCGGGTGGTGGAGCCAGGCTCTGAGCCTGAACTGACTTCCTGCCTTCACTTTCATGTTCTAGGCGCAAACAGAAGCACCTGCTGTGGGCAGGAGGGAACCTTCTGAGGTGGGAGCCGCTCAGGAGGAAGGGTGGCAGTTCTGGGCCGTGAGGCCAACAAGGAGCAGCCCATGACCACAGCTGCCGAGGGGCAGCTGCTCAGGGTAGCAGGGCTGGGACCCGGGAGTGCCAGAGCTGCTGGGTGTGCCAGGCATGAGGCTTTGCTGAGGCGCCTGTGTTTGCTCCTGGTGCATTGGAATGGCGGCCGCTGGAGGCATGGAGGGAGGGGCTGGGGTGGAGAGGGGCAATGCCCTGGGCCTGGTGCAGTAGACCTCTCTCTCCTCAGCTGCTCCACTCACTCTAGAATCGTGGGCAGTGATGTCTAGACCCTGACACTCAGCTTCCTCATAAAATGGGACAGAAAAGGCAGTGGCAGCTGGGCTTGCTGAGGCTTGCCTAGGCTAACTTGTCTTCCTGTTGTCGACAGCCAGAGGAGCCTAAGGGGCCGCCCCTAGATGTGGGTTTGAGTGGTCTGGCGCACTGTCTTTCTCTCTCTCTCTCTCCCCCTCTCTCTCTCTGGTGTATGCATGTACAGGTTTGTACGTGCCTGTATGTGGGGGGGTACATGTGCATGTGTGCGTACATATATGTGAAAGCTACTTAGAGACAGCTAGTGGCTTCCCCCATGGCTTACCACCTCCCTTTTTTTCAAGGCAGGGGCTCTCACTCACTCACAGCTCCCTGACTCACGAGACTTCTCGGGCAGCAGCAAGCCCCAGGGTCCTCCTGTCTTCATGCCCCGGTCCTGGGATTACAGACATGTGCTTGGGCTTTCACGAAGGTGCTCAGGATCTGGCCCGAGGCCCGGGCCTGCAGAGCGGGTACTTTACCACCTGAGACTACCTCCTTAGTCTCTGGCCCTGGCTCCTGAACTGCGACCCATCTGCTGGAGTGATTCTGGCCCCGGGGCCTGATACTCACCACCACCTCCAGATCTGAGTTCAAGTGCCGCTGAGTGTCTGACATCTGAACCAAGATCTCACCTGGAGGCAAGAGGGGCTGCAGTTAGTGTGGAGAGCCTGCTCCATCTGCCTCCCTCGTGCCAGAAGCCAACCGGGACATTGCTGGCTGGATTGGAGTTCAAGGTCCAAGTATTTCACACATGGCTTTGGCTCAGGACTTGGTAAACCTGCTCTACAGGGAGGGGTAGGGAAGAGCTGGAGGTCAGGCCTGAGAGAGGGGCTCCCAGCACTGGCCATGGGCCTGTGTTGAGGTGGGGGCTTCTAGAAAGGCTCATGTACAGAAGAAAACCCTAGTGGACCCCAGAGCATGGACCACATGGGCCCTAGAGCCGAGGAGATGATAAGAACGCAGGTAAGCCAGGTGCACGCCTTTAATTCCAGTGCTCACGAGGCAGAGGCAGGCAGTCTCTAAATTCAAGGCCAGCATGGTGTACAAAATGAGTTCCAGGACAGCCAGGGCTACACAGAGAAGCCCTGTCCTGAAAAACAAAACCAAGCAAAAAAACCACAGGCAAAGGGTCCTGGGCTGGGACAAGAGGAGGGTGCTGGGAGTGGAGGGTGGGGTGCAGAGGGCAGAACCTCACCCAGAATCTGTGATGTGGAGCTCTGCAGAGCCTGTTCCCCAATCTTCTGGATGGCGCTGAAGTACACCTCCGCCGCCTCGGACAGGGCTGCCGGGAAGGTGAGCGTTTAGGCCCAGCGCTCAATCTGTGCTACCCTGATTGTGTGGAGGGGCCCCTGAGATGTGGTGGAGAGCCCTTGGGTGATGTGTGGAGCTCGCTCCTGCCAAGACCTTCCATGTGTGTCCTGGGGGAGGGCTGCAGGCACCGGTGTGCTTGCCAAGGAGTGGGCCGTGTGCAGAGTCCCTGGGAGTACACGTGGGCCGGCGCTGAGGGTGAGCCCAGCGGCTAGTAAGGAGTGCTAAGCGTCAGCCCCAGCGATGGACGGCAGGGGCTGACGCCAGGGCAGATACTCACCATGGAAGGCCCGCAGGTAGTTGTTGCCCAGGTACACAAGATTCTCTAGTGCAGGGTTAAACTGCTCCATGATGCTCTGGACCGGAGGGCAGGGGACGCAGGCCATGGCGGTGGAAAGAAGGACAGATGGACAGAAGCACCTAGCCCTCGAAGCCCACCTTGACCGCTGAGGTCACCAGAATCCTGGCTCTGCTACAAATGCCACAGAGGCATCTAGGGGGAGCCAGTCCCAAGCCAGGAGTCGCTTGCAGACAGCCTCTGCCACACACCTGCCCCAGAGAGGCCTGCTCCCTCCCGACATGAGGAGCCTCAGAGTCACACTGGCTGAGTGCAATCACCTCTGCTGCCACCCCACTGGGCACAGCTCAGCCCACCCTGTGCCCAGGCCTCACCAGAATGGATTTCTGGGGCTGCTGCATCTCTCCTTTTTAAAAGCACCCTTTGGATCCACAATGTGGTTGGGTTACCACCCTGGGCTGCCACCAGCTGGAGAACACCCTGGGCCATGGGGCATCCCCGACACTTAGAATTGGGATTTGACTGCAATCCCAGCATCCTCTTCTCCCCTTGCCGACCTTGAACAACCTCTGTGGGCTTGGTTTTCATCTATCCGGTAGGCTGGCTATTTCCTACCTCACGTGCCAGGCGTGCGTGGGGGAAGGGTCCTGCATGTAATTCCCAAGCCCTCCTCCCCACGCCTACAGTTTAGCCCAGCCTGGGCTCCCCCTCCGTCCTGGAGCCAGCCTGGCCTCCACATGCTGCCCGTGGCCCATGAGCTCACCTTGTAGATGGCCATGGTGGACCTGTAGAACTGGTCCATTTCGGGGGCCATGGAAGGTGGCGCTGGCACTAAGGAGGCAGGCGGCTCCAGCAGGCCTTGGAATGCTGGGGTCAGTCTCTACAGGTGCCCAGTGCTCTGTTTCACAGGCAGTGGGCGGCGAGGAAGCTGTTGCTTGGGGCCTGCAGATGGAGTCCTGTCTGGAAGGAGGTAGCTGCTTAATTATTCACCAGTTGGTGGGGGGGGTGTCAATGCGATCTGGAGCGTAACCAGACCCTGTGACGCAGGCAGGCTCCTGTGAGATGCCCTTTAATTATTTACCCTCTGGGCGTGGACTGGTGGGCATTCGTGGATGGGCCACTTCCCAGGTCACCTCCTACTCTGAGCCCGTCCTTCATCTGCCTCTGTAGGGTCTGGAACACACACCCTCCTGCCGCAGCAAGCTGAGGCGCCTGGAGGTAAGCCATGTGGAGGACTTACTGTTCTCACAGGTGGCATCTCTGCTTGGGACCCTATGCCTTGAGGGGGACCCAGCCCCTGCCCCCAGCGCCGGGGATGGAACCCATGATCTCAAATATTCTGGGCAAGCACGTCACTGCTGAGTTCCCTCTCTAGTCCCAATTCCCTCCTTCCTAACGCCAGAGCAAGGACGACAGTCCCACAGAGCCGGGGCAGAAGTGTGGTCCTCTTCCCTCACCCAGCCATATGTGCAGACCTTTGCCCTGGCCAAGTCTCAAACGAGGCTCCCATCGGCTTCCCTGGCAGGTGGGCCTGGCGCTAACGCTGCCTACTCTATTGTCTGTTATATCAGGGCCAGAAGAGGGGCTGTCCTGGTCATGTCTAAGGCAGCAGGGTTGGGGACAGGACACACTTACACACACTACACAGGGGAGCTTGAGTCTAAACCGTTTATTTCACAGTTGAGGTGGACTTGAACCCATGCCCACTCTCCTCCCAGAGAAGAGTGCACGCACAGAATCGACCTTTGGGAGCTGGGAGGCTCTTAAGGTGGGGAGGCTGCAGGTGCAGAGGGGCAAAGTCGAGCAGACTGGATTTCACCTGATGATGGGGTGGAACCCCATTTCTGTAATCCCTGACTTCAGGAAGTGGGGAGAAGGGGTGGGTTTTGGTGGCTGGGGACCCTGGGAGAACCCTCTGGGCACTCTGGGCACCTTAGTGTTGATTTCACTGATATGTGGGGCAACTGACGGGCCAGCTGTCATTCACAGTCACATAAAGGGGCTGAGGGGACTCTGGGCAAAGTGCAGATGGGTCAGGAGGGGCCTTGTGGGGAGCCTGCTAGTGCTCTGAGCCCTAGTCCTCAGTGGACACAGCTGCCTGGCCCAGCTTGGCCCCCAGTGTGCTGGGTGGCCTGGCACACCGCTGCCAGCATGGCCCAGGGCTCAGGGCGACAGCAGCATTTGGACGAGCTTCTGGAACTCCTCCCGGTGCTCGTAGATGTAGACCTCCGTCTCCCAGAGGGCATTGACCAGCACCGCATCACTGACCTCGTCCAGCATGATGTCTGCTCCTAGCTGTGGGTTCAGTCTGTTGGGAGAAAGGAGGAGAGGGTCACTCAGGATGCTCAGCCTAGGTAGGGACAGGAACTTGGGCTGGGGAGGGCAGCTAGGAAAGACCACATCAAGGGTAGGTGGGTATGTGTCCATGAATCTCGTCAGGTGGGTATGTGTCCATGAATCTCGTCAGGTGGGGTGGGGGCAAGGACCTCTGTTGGTGAGATGGGTGTGGGGGGGCCTGGCGGAGTCGGGTCAGACTCAAACCTTACCTGAAGTACTGGATGCCAACCATCTCACACCAGGCCCGGGCCCGGTCCACGGCCCGGCCATCTGGATCCGTGCACTGAGGGAAAGAGTGTCCGTAAGCCCTGGCCACAGTGCCCTGCTACCCACCCTCCAAGATGCCTGGGCTCTAGCCATTCACTAGCAGAGTGATCTGAACAGGTCCAGGAGTCTGGGCCTCAGTGACTGCCTAGCTGTGCAGAATCAGCTCAGGATCTCTGAGGGCAGTGACAAGGGGCCTTGCATTCCCTACTGTAGATTTCATCCACGTGCATCCTGGCTTTCCACAGAGCTGTGTGCACAGAGATCTATAGTCAAAGAACATCTGAAACCTGGTGGGGTCTGGTCAGCCTGGAGCCTGAGTCTGGGCTGTCTCCCAGAGCTGACTGACAGGGATGGACATGGCAGTGTGTGGAGGCATCGGCCAGAGATGGAGACCTGAGGGGAAGGCCGGGGAAGGATACCAACTCACACAGTCTACCACCATCTTGCCCAGTTCCTTGGCTCCAAAAACAGTCTTGGCCAGTTCCCAGGGGTTACTGGGGCGGAAGACATCTACACAGGTTACAGGCACTTGAGGGGACCTTCCTGTCCCCAGAGAGACGACTATGGAGAGTTTCTTCACCTTGTTGCCTTGGCCCTGTGGTGAGCAGGACAAAGGCAGTCAGAGGTAGGGTCAGAGAGGCCAAAGCTGAGTGCAAGGCTGTGAGGGGCACAGACAAGGCCTTGAACAAGAGCAATCCAGATTCTAATCCAAGGTGCATGTCGGTGCTCCAGGTCTGTGCTGGGCTTGTGTGACTGCGGGAGCCAGCTGTGCACACCTGGTGGGGTGCCTTCAAGACTGCCACAGGCCCCGCGCCCCGAGTCCACAGGGCGCTCAGACGGGCACGGCTGCTGCTGGAGGTCAGGAGACTGATCAGCTCACCACAGCATGCTCGGCTCCCTCGGCGCACAGGTCTTGTCACTGTCTCCACACTGCCCCGTGCCTCAGGACAGGTTCCAAGCTCAGGAGCCCTTCCCCAGACCTTAGTCCTCTCACACAGGCCCTCCTCCTCCCGCCTCTGCAGGGGCTCCTCCAGAAAGGACACACACAGGAGAGTATCCTGCTTGTGCAGTCTCCAAGCAGGATGCAAGCTCTGCAAGGCCAGGGCGTGTCTCAGCTGGGGAGTGTCAGATGTGCAGCCTATACACTGCCCTCCCTAACGGCAGGTGCGGGCTACAGATGACAGTCGTCCCTGTGCTCCGTGTGGACGGAGCCTCAGAAGTCTACAGACACTGCCCATCAGAGAGGCCGTGCGTGCGTGGGATATGACTGCCGCCGAGTGTTTGAGCAACTGGTGAGGACATGCATCAGAGCGGTCCGCGCTCATCAGCAGTGTGGGGCGTGTCCATCTGTGACCCGAGAGGCTCTCACCTTTCGGATCATGTCCTGATTGTATTCATGGATTTCAGTCATGGCATCTAGTGTGGGGTTGTTGGCCAGCAGTCCACCATCCAGGAAGCGTCCATTGGGCCGGAAGTAGGTTGGGGCTGCCCCACTGCTCCGGGCAGCCCGCCACACCAGTTGGTCTAGGGGTGGGAAAAGACGGTGGCTCCATGACATAACACCTGTCCCTTCCCATCTCAGGGTTCAGAGGGAAGAACCAGGAAGTTACTAGAAACAGGACCCATAAGGCCTTGCTGCTGGGTCTTAGCAACTTGATGAAAGGCTGTGTGTCACTATGGACTTCAGGGGCCTCTTGAACTCTCTGAGGCCTAACAGCCTCCAGCAACACTTGTCCTTAGCCAACCGAGACCAGGGCAGTGATGTGGGTGGCGAGGGTTCCAGCACCTTGTCTGTGACTCCCCAGCCCCTCCCAGCCTCAGCGAGCCCTTCCCGGGGGCACATCAAATCCACTGACCTGCAGGCTGAGTTGGCGGCTTCAGGTTAATGTTGTGGTTGAAGCGAGGTTCCCGAATGGCCTCTGGAGCATCGTAATTGCGGAACAGGTGGAGCTCTGCGGGCTGCCGGTCAGACAGTGTCCCCGTGAGCATCACCCTGCGGGAACAACAGAGGGGAGCTGGCTCAGCCATCCATCGTCTCCTCAACAGGTCATGCCCTGGACCCTGTTCTGAGTGGGCTTCCCCCTGGCTGTCCTCACACAAGCGTCTCCTGTAGATCCGGGCAGCTTCATGAAGGGGATTGGCCAACTCTGCCCTATTTACTCACAGCTGTTTCCCTATCCAATAACCCCACTCTGGAAATTTCTGGAAATTCACCCCAGGAGGTCTCCAGGGCAGCAGACAGGCTGCACAGAGCCACCAGTGGCAGCATCCATTATTAGAACAGATGACTGGGGACAACCTCACCGTCCACTGGGGACAACCTCACGGTCCACTGGCAAGCCAGCTGTCATAGCCACGACTCCTTACTCATGGGGGGCATGACACTGAATAACAACCATGGTGGCACTTGCTGGGGTCCAAGGAGCAGGTACACAAGGAAAGTAAGGTCTGGGGCAGTGTCTTCAGCACGCTGTGAGGTGTTTAGAAACAAATCAACAGGATAACTACTCAGCTGGGTAGAGGCCAACTCTGGAAGGCCTGAGCGCAGTGAGCAGACTCCAGGACCTGGGGTGAGCTGAGGGGTGGAGAGCATCCCCCACTGTGACCTTGGACACCTTCCTTTTATGTCTTCTTTCTGTCATTTCAACAGCCATTAAAAAAGCCCCTCTTCCCACGGGGGGGGGGGGAGGCCTGGAGAAACAGCTCAGCAGTTAAGAGCATCTGCTGCTCCTTCAGAGGACATGAGTTCAATTCCAAAAACCCATAGGATGGCTCATAACCATCTATATATAACTGTAGTCCCAGGGAACTGGATGCCTCCGCTGGCCTCTGCAGGTACCATGTATGAATGCAGTACACAGACATACATGCAGGGAAACATTCACACACATACAGCAACAATAAAAAGAGAGCTCCTCCTAACCCTGCAACAAAGAATCCAGCACAGACCCTTGAAAATCAGCGTGTGTTCAGATCCTTGCACAGCGTGGTTCTGTGAGCTCCAGCTCCCACCCTGGAAAGGAAGGGCTCTCTGTAGGGCTCTCAGCACCGCGGCTGCTAGCCACCCCGTCTATCTAACTGGAGTAGCAGCACACACAGGTGTCCGTGAACGATGAGAATCCAACCAAGGTCCTCTGGAAAAGTGGCCAGCGCTCTTCACCGCTGAAACATCCCTCCAGTCTGAACGGAGCTGAGAAGATGGCTCCGTGGTCAAGAGTGCTTCCTGCTTTCACCAAGGACGAGGACAAGGCTGGTTCTCAGCGCCACGTCAGGGGGTCATAATCGCCTGCCACTCCAGCACCAGGGAACCCATGACTTCCAGTCTCTGAGGACACCCACACACACGGGCACACACAAGACAGGATAAGCGGGGGTCAAAAGTCCACCGATCTGAGGTCTAATGGAGACTATTCTATGTTGGGTTGGGACTCTGAAGGGTTACACTCCCAGGATAAATACAGACCAGACACAAACATGACATGCCCTTTTACATTTTTTGGTGTACAGGTGTACATTTTTGCCTGCATCTATGTCTATGCACCATCTGTGTTACTTCCTGAAGGGAACAAAAGAGGGTATCAGACCCCCTAGGACTGCAGTTACAAATGACTGTGAGCGGCCAAGTGGGTTCTGGGAATCAAATGTAGGTCTTCCACAAGAGCGGCAAACAAATGCTCTAACTCCTACGCCATCCCTCCAGCCTCGACCAGCACCTTCCTCACCCCTGGAGGCTACAGGGAAAAGAAACCCTGGAGTGGAACAAGGCTGGGACAATTCTGCCCGTCAGCTGCTAGCTTGTACACATCATCTGGGGACAGTCCCACAGCTTCCACGACAATACCCCATCAAAGCAGCAGAGCAGAGGCAAGCCTGCACACCCAAGACACAGCACAAAGCAAGCCCTCTGCAGGGAGTGGGCTCATTCTGAGCTTCAAAGAATCTGATTTTCAACACTAGGGAACAGTGCAGACAGTACACAGATAACTAGGGAGGGACACACAGGAGAGGTCACCGGGGGAGCTGGGAACAGAACTCAGTGATGGAAGACACACACTCTGGGTCAAGGCAGACTAAGGACAACAGAACACAGGCACAGGCTTCAACAGGCCACAGCACTGCAGTTAACAGATGCAGGCTTGATAACATCTTTGTTGCTCTGCAATGCTGGGAGCATACTAAGCAAGCACTCTGTCACTGGGCAGGGACTGCAGTCCAAGCCTCGTGATATTTTCAGGGAACAGGAGGTTATAGGTAATGACCTTGAAGACCAAAGAGTGCTTTTCTTGGGGGTGGGGTATATACACCCATATGCACATGTATGTGAAAAAAAATTTTAAGTCAACAGATGGGAAAATAACAAAGCAACAGAGAGAATTCGTGGACTGGAAAACAGGTAAGCAATTACCCAGACTGCAACACAAAGACACCAAACGTTAGAAGGTGCGCATAGCGGCACATGCCTTTGATTCTAGCACTTGGAGGGCAGAGGCAGGGGGATCTCTGTGAGTTCAAGGTCATTCTTCCAGGAAAGTCAGGGTTATATAGTGAACCCTGTTTCAAAAAAAAAAAAAAAAAGGAAGGAAGGAAGGTTGGAGAGCGGGCTGGCTGGTTAATGAGCTCAGCGGGTAAAGGCATTGGCTGTAAGTCCTGAGGCCGATCCTTAGAACCCACCTGGTGAAAGGAGAGACACAATCCTAAATGTTGTCCTCTGACCTCTATGTTCTCATTCTCTCTCTCTAAAATAAAAGCTAAAATTTAGAAAGGAAATGCAAGGGAGGTTAAAAGCTCTGGAGGAGGTAAGTATGCTTCTAGCGTGGGCTTAACTAAATTTACAGAGGAAACACTCAGGGAGAGAGACGGGGCTGGGAGGGGGAATGAAGTAGCGGAGACAAAAGTTCAAAAGACGCCAGGGCTTGAGCGCACACAGACACATCACAGGAATCCACCTCTGCCTATGCCAGCATCCGAAGCTGAGCAGCAACCTTGAGCAGGCAGAGCCGGCAGAGTCTACACACGAGACCGGTGGCCTCCACAGAAGCAACAGACGGCGAGTATGTGCTGAATATTAGAGCCTCTGATTTCATAAAACAAACGCTAAAACATAAAAGACTACATGGGCCCTGAAATAATAATAATAGTATTCCACTCTCGCACTTAGATAGCTCTTCCAAACTTAAAACAAATAAATGTCAGAAGTAAATACACTACACACCTTAGAAGGGTTCTATGCTGTGATACACACCATGACCAAACACAGCTTGGGGAGGGGAGGGTGTACTCACAGCTCTCGGGGAACGGAATGGAAGCAGAGGCCGTGGAGGAGCACGGCTCACTGACCTGCTCAACCTGCTTCCGCAAACCACTCCCGGTCCACCTTCCGGAGATGGCACTGCCCACAGCTGGCGGGGCCCTCCGCATCAGTTGTTAGTGAAGACAATACCCCACAGCCAAAGCTATGCACAAGAGCCTGTCTCAAACCCTAAAAAGAACGAGAGGCCCCGCGGCTGGGAAAACAACACACCCCGGGCTGCTGGGCCTTGCTCACCTCACCGCTGCTCCCCTTCCTCTGGCAGCCTCTCCTTTCTCTTTCCTGGTCACTCAGTCGGGTGACAGACACTGTTAGATGGCCTGCCTGTGCTAGGGGCCAGGGCCGCAGAGAACAAGGCGTTCCTGCCTTTTAAACCTCATAGAGATGGAGAGATGGCTCAGCAGTTAAGAGCACTGGCTGTTCTTCCAGAGGTCCTGAGTTCAATTCCCAGCAACCACTTGGTGGCTCACAACCATCTGTACTGAGATCTGGTGCCCTCTTGTGACGTGCAGACAAACACGTTGGTACAGCACTTTCAGATTAACCTTTCTACAGGCTGTCTTCGGAGCTGCAGCATGAGAAGGCTCTTCTGGGCAGCTTCCCTGCCTGCTGTTTAGCTTACTGCTCTCCCTGCTCGTCTCCCCTGCCCTCAGGAGAGACCCTCATCTACAGGTACTGCCCTGCTCCCCAGATCTGGGCAGGCTTACTTGGGTTTTTTGACATCTGTCATCTTGGTGTGTTCCCCAAACTCCCGCTTCAGGAACTCCTCCAGGGGCCCAGACTCATAGGGCCGTGAGCCCCGAAACACCTCGTCCTTCATACGGAAGTACACGCCACGCATATAGGCCATGGACTTACCTAGGAAGAAAAGATGAGGAACTGGAGAGAGCCCAGGGTGGTGTGCAGGCCCCTGAGGGATGGCAGCATGCCGAGCAGCTGCAAGCTTCCGGAAGCGCGGCCAGGAGGTGGCAAAGGGCTAGCGGAGCACCAACTTCCAGGCCCTTCTATAAAACCTGCACATACAGGCAGAAACCCTTTCAGGGTTCTCTGCTTAAATCTGCATCACTGAAAAGGACCTTGAGATACAAAATTGTACAAAGCTGGTCCCATTTCCCTGTCCTCTAAGCCTGCAGGCCAGACAGGCTGTGGGGAGGAGGTGTCCAGCTATCTGACAGGCTCCCTAGGGGCCAGGGTGTGAAGCAGAGGGGCCTGCCGAAGCAGGCATTGTGTCTGTCTGAGGTCGAACCGGGCAGCTTCTCATTCCCCTGCCAATCTGAAGATGAGCTGGGACTTCCGCCTGTTCAGCAAGAGGAAGACCCCATGCACTGTGGGCAGAACAGGTCCTCTACAGGCCAGGAGAGACTCGGGGGAGCCAACTCTGGCTCTGGTTTGATGTGTAGTGTGGCCCTCTCTCTCTGGTCCCCAGATTCCCTGTGTGCTCACCCCCACAGAACTAGGGCGAGAATCTCCAGCAAGTGAAGCACTTGTCACTAGACCAGCCAGCTGATGACCAAACCCCAACAGCTCTCCCTGGTAGAAGACTTCCTTTCCAGAGCCTCACAGGAGATGGCCCCCACAGCTCCCTGGGATGGCTGTGCCCATATTCCTGAAAGGCCCTAGGCTGAACCCATGACCTCACTCCAGAGCCCTGCAGATGCCCAGGTGCCTGTACCCCTGTCTCACCAGGAGCTTCCTGAAGCCAGGACTCAGCTCCACATCCTCAGATCTCGAGTACTCATGATGCCTACACTTAGGGTGGAGGGAGTGTCCTCCTCTGGTGCCTCAGGGCACCAGGATCCTGATTTTGGCAGGATCTCCCCAGAGGAGGTGCCAGGCCACCTGAATGGCAATGCTGGCCCTATGTGGCAACCTCCAGCTATCCAAATGCCTGTGCTGTGTGAGGCTAGCTCGACCGAGGCAGCCTGGTGACTTGTGAGGGGATTGCTGAGTCAGGGGAACACTGGGTACTCCACAGTGTGCCATGCCCCTCTGGCACACTTTCTCAGCCAGGGTCTTGACTGTCCAAGCATCCCAGGGCGTTGGCATCCTGTGACTCGCTTATTTTCCCACACGCCCATTCCGTCCACCAAAGGTGTTTCCACTGCCAGCAGCCAGCAGGGTCTGTGGTGCTGGCTTGCAGGAGTGTGGGGTGGACATGGAAACCGAGACAGAAAACCCTCCTAAACTGGCTCTGTACTCTGGCATGAGGGCAGATGGCCTGTCTGCCCGCCCACCCCCATGCCCAGAGGCTATGCTCACTGTGCAGAATGGCCAGGGCCAGGATGCCCCCAGTGCTCGTTCCTGCCACCCAGTCGAAGAGGTCCTTGGTGGCCACGCCTGAGGCCTTCTCGATGGCAATGAGGAGCTGGATGATGACCAGGCCTTTCACACCCCCTCCGTCCAGGCAGAGCAGGTGGTCATGTCTGTAGCGAGGATAGCGGGGGCCAAGAGGGTGTCATGATGGCGTTCTCAACCTCACACCACCTGAGCTTCTGCACAGCGGGGACACACTGCCTGGGAGCCTCCCTGCTATTGGGCATGGAAGCGGGTGGGCGGGAAAGAAGTGGGCGTCTCAGATGCGCAAAGGGAAAGGAGGGGTGGGGTGAGGAACAGGGTGGCAAGTGGGACAAGGAGTGGGGTAGGGGGCATGATGGGCGGGGAGCTGGCTTCTGAGTGACACACTCTAGCAGGCTTGTCCAACCTGCAGTCTGAGAGCTGCATATGGCAGATGACAGCTATGGATGCAATCATAAACTGACTTAAAGCATAAGGGGTGTGTGTGTATGTGAGTGTGTGTGTATGTGAGTGTGTGTGTGAGAGTGTGTGTGTGAGAGTGTGTGTGTGTGAGAGTGTGTGTGTGTGATTGTGTTGTTGTTATAATACAATTACACGGTTCTTGTGCATGAACTCTGTAGATGCCAAGTCTCAGTGCTAAAAGGTTGTACACTCCTGCCCAGCCCAGCTTAGTCCCAAGGATGGCAGAAAATGCAAGGTGCCAGGCCTTCATGGCCACTACCTGGGGATACTTGCAGTCTATGCTCAACCCTTCCTTCTAGGATCATTTTCCCCTCTCAGTTTTGTGATTCTGTTATGTTTTTGGTATTATGAGACAAGTATCTTGGGCTGGCCTTGAATTCACAGTCCTTCTTCCCCAGGCTTTTCTGGTTTTTGTTTTTTTGTTTGC